TTTAATGAAAGAGCGTTTTGAATTGTTTCATATTTTTCAAACTTTTTGTGCTGAAGTTCAAACTCAGTTTGGTCATTCTATCAAAATTTTACGCAGTGACAATGCTAAAGAATTTTTTGGTGCATCCTTTAATCAATTCATGGCATCACGGGGTATGCTTCACCAATCCTCTTGTGTTCACACGCCTCAACAAAATGGAGTTGCTGAACGCAAGAATCGACACTTGGTTGATACTACTCGTACCCTATTATTACATTCTCATACACCACCTCAATACTGGGCAGATGTTGTGCTCATTGCGTGTCATTTAATCAATAGAATGCCTTCCTCAGTTCTTAACAATGAAATTCCTTATTCTATTTAATTTCCTGCTCATGATTTATTTCCATTACCACCTCATGTGTTTGGGTGTGTGTGTTTTGTCCATGACACGACACCTGGATTTGCTAAAATGTCAGTTAGGTCAATAAAATGTATTTTTCTTGGATATTCGCGACTCCAAAAGGGATATCGTTGTTATTGTCCATTACTTAAGAAACATTTTATTTCAGCCGATGTCACTTTCATTGAGTCGTCCTTTTATTATCCATTATCTTCGGTTGATACCCCATCATGTTTGGACTTCACCTCATATCTCCGACCCATCCTTCTGGAGTGAGCAGTATGGCAGACCGTCCATTACAAGTATACCATCGACGTCCTCGACCTCCTCCCATTGTGCCCATTGTGGCCACGCCAGTTGAATCCCCTATGACGGGTCCCGCACCATCACCATTGCTCAGGATGATTTGCCCATTGCTCTCCGAAATTACTCAGGATGATTTGCCCATTGCTCTCCGAAAAGGTACGCGTTCCACTACGAATCCACATCTCATATAACTTTTTGAGTTATCACCGCCTCTCTACCCCTTATTATGCTTTTATTTCCCACCTGTCTCATATATGTATTCCTAAAACCACACATGAGGCACTGGCACACTCGGAATGGCATAAAGCCATGTTGGCTGAGATGGAGGCTCTTCATTCAAGTGGGACGTGGGACTTAGTCCCCCTTCCCACTGGCAAATCAGTGGTGGGATGTCGGTGGATTTACACAGTTAAGGTTGGGCCTAATGGGGAGATTGATCGTTCTAAAGCACGCCTTGTGGCGAAAGGGTATACTCGGATATATGGATTGGATTACACTGACACTTTTTCTCCTGTAGCGAAGATTGCATCAGTTCGTTTGGTTTTATCCATGGCAGCAATGAGCCACTGGCCATTGTTCCAATTGGATATTAAAAATGCATTCCTTCACGGAGATCTGCACGAGGAAGTTTATATGGAGCAACCACCTGGGTTTGTTGCTCAGGGGGAGTCTGGTATGGTGTGCAGATTACGTCGTTCATTATATGGCTTGAAGCAATCTCCACGTACATGGTTTGGGAGGTTTAGTGCCGTTGTCTGCAACTTTGGCATGATTCGCAGTGATGTCGATCATTCTATATTCTATCGACATTCTGCTGGCAACAAATGTATCTATCTTGTTGTGTATGTTGATGACATTGTCATTATAGGTAACGATGATCAAGGAATTGCGCTCTTCAAGCAACATCTCTTTAGCAAATTTCAAACAAAAGACTTGGGAAAGTTGAGATACTTCCTTGGCATTGAGGCCGCACAGTCTCAAAATGGAATTGCTCTCTCACAAAGAAATTATGCCTTGGATATTCTTGAGGAAAAGTGTTCTTAGTCAGTTTCTTGATAAGCCATGTACTGGACATTGGGATGCAGCTATCCGAGTTTTGAGATACATCAAGAAAACTCCGGGGCAAGGATTGTTGTTTGAAGATCGAGGCCACCATGATCTTGTGGGATACTGTGATGCAGACTGGGCCGGATGTCCGATGGATAGACGTTCCACTTCGGGATATTGCATCTTGATTGGTGGAAACTTAATTTTATGGAAAAGTAAGAAACATGATGTGGTTGCCAGATCTAGTGCTGAAGTAGAATATTGTGAAATGACCCTTGCTACATGTGAAATCTTATGGTTGAAGCCTCCTCCAAGAGTTAAAATATGGAAACACAAAACCAGTTCAACTCATGTGTGATAATCAAGCTGCAATGCACATCGCATCAAATCAGGTATATCATGAGAGGACAAAACATATTGAGGTTGATTGTCATTTTATCTGAGAGAAGATCGCGAGTGGACATATCATCACAAAATATGTCAACAGAACTGAACAACTTGCAGATATTTTAACTAAGTCTCTTAGAAGTCCAGGAGTGGGATATATTTGTAACAAGCTTGGTACATATGATTTATATGCTCCAGCTTTAGGGGGAGTGTGGAAATCCTAGTAGTATTGGGTTTAGCCCATTTGTATATCTTGTATAGGAAATCCTAGTACTCTAAATATAGCTATAAATATAGCTTCTTGTATAGCATTTTAACATCAAGTATATGAAATACAACAATACTTGTTCACACACATATATAGATATATTAATTTAATTTAATCTACAATATTATTATTCTATTCTATATATATTTAAATTATATCTTGGTTTATATACACTTTTAATTTAATACGGAGTATGCAATATGTTATTTTAAATTATATTATTATATATGTATATTTAAATATTATATGTGACACGACAAGTCGCCTAATTTTCGCGCCTAGGCAGTATGGCGGTCAGCTGGCGCCGCGACTCGACTTACCGCCGTGACAAGTATGATTACATCACTAACAACCAACTCCTAAAAAATAGGATCTAAGCTAAAACTATGCTGCTAACAACCGTGACTAAGTACAATAGTTATCTAATTACGGTTAAATAGATATTTAGGAGTAAATTTAAAATAGCTAACAAGTTAATAATGATTAGTTTGGATTAATCGGAAGGTGAGGAGAACCGAGAAAAGCTCCGGGTCTCTAGATTAATGGGAATGATGCATTTTCTGGGATTAAAAAATCTATAAATGAAGCACGTACCCTCTCTAGTACATATTGGGACCCAATATTTAAGCTCGAGTTTGTGAGTCAAACTTTGACCCAACGAACAGTGCGTGTGTCTAGATAGTTGCTCTTCTTTTGCTTCATCTCAACCATTGCCACCGTCACCTTAATCTCAATTATGTTAGAATTATGAGTTACGTGGAATTGATTCTGACTTCGCAGTGATTTATCTCTTTATTTATGATAATTGGTGTAGATGGGTATTGACCATATAATAAAAGCATATCTTAATAGTAAAATCAGCTAACATACATACCATTAATGACCCGCAGTCATAATCCGCTAGCTTATTCAGCTTTGTTTGTAGAAAAGCAGATAAGTAGTTTTTGATTATTTCTTCGGATTACATAAATATTACCAAATGTTTCTCTCCCAGAAAGCTCAGCCATTTTAATTTGCTAAATAATGCTTGTCAAATAGGCCCAAAGTTAATGCAGCAAATTTTACACCCAAAACTGTTTATGTCGCTGAGATTATTTAGATGAAAATATGATAATTCAAAACCATCACAGAATGTTTTGTCATTGGCATGAAAATGTGATAAGACATTGATGGTTGCTATACTCTCATGGTGTGCCGCCTGACCTAACAGTTGGGCAATTTGTATATGTGATTCGCAAAAGGATCAAGTTGAGTGCAGAGAAAGCCATTTTCATTTTCGTTCAGAATGTGTTTTGAACGCTGAAAATTTAGGGAAAAGACAAGTGCTACTGAAAATATATAGTTTATTTATGTTTGCTTTGACAAAAGAAAATATGAATGACATATCAAATGCTATTATTTTATAAAACTCCGGCCAAGGAAACCTTTATTACAACTGTTTTTCGTTTTGAAATGACCCTGTGAAACAAATTTTAAGTATTCACTTAAAATTGATCGCAAATAATAATATGTGAGAATATTGGGTACAATCTCTAAATATGTATCCTCTGATTCTTCACTTGCAATGTGACATAAATATAATTAAAGAAATTAATTCAAAATTAAATCTTTAATCCTTCAAACGTTCGAACGTTCTTCAGATCTTCAAATCTTCGTTCTTGAGATCTTCGAATCTTCGAATCTTCGTTTGTCAGATCTTCAAATCTTCTTGAATTAAGAATTCAACTTGAAGGGCCTCCGGTTTTCAAGTGGCTTGATCTTCAACAAAAGGGCCGTTTTATGGCTTGATCTTTTGTTTAAGGGCCTCCCAGGATATATATGGATTGATCTTCAATTGAATTTCAATTCAATCTTCATATGAGTATCTTCAAATCTTCAAAGATTCGTTCTTCATATCTTCGAATCTTCAAAGTCTTGTTTTTCAGATCTTCGAATCTTCAAGCTTCGTCCTTCAGATCTTCGAACGTTCTTCAACTTTTGGATTTATTTTATTAAGAATCGACGAAATCACGAAGGATTATTCGTATATTCTTAACAAAATTCGTGGCTTGATCTATTCCTCTTCTTCGGAATCGTTCAGAGCCTTTCGGGAGTTCTTGAGAGCTTTTCTGCAACGTTTCTTCGTCTGAAAAATTCTCCTCCATCCCTCTCATATGTGCCCCCCTATTTATAGGTGTGAGGGGGGTGAAAATATGCCTTAGGGTTTAGCAAATTCGTCCATACCCCTTGGGCCTCAATTAAAATGGGCTTCGGGCTCTATTTGCTTGCATTTTAATGGCTAGAAAAATCAGCACTTATATAATGTATCTGGACAACCTTTTTAACAAGGTTCGCAGCCATTTCTCATGCATTTGGATATACTTCTTGACTGGATTCATTGCTCTCTTTATCAATTGGATCATGTCTCTTCTATATTGGACCGCTAATAGGCTCAAAATAGAGAAATTAATAGGATCGGTCCATTCTTTTAAGAATTTAATTAAATTAATCGGACATTTAGATGACCCAAATTAATTTAATCCCAAAATTAATGGATCCATATTAATATTTTCTTCTTGATAAGGCCCAACAACCATTTACAAATAGTCCAGTAGAATCTGAAGTTGGCCCAATAAATTCAAAAGAGACCCAATAAAATTTACATGTCCACAAATGCTCCCTCGAGACTTGCTTGGATGTATCAATTTTTTCACCGCGAAAGTCTCGAAAATTAACTTGTTGATCAAAGTTATACCCATTTTGTACAATAAATTTAAATCCGTAGGCAAGGTCAACACAACTCATGGATTTAAAATCCTATTATTTCTAATAGGCCTAAAAGAACATGTGACGGGACTCAATATGCACTCCCAATTTTTTGAATTGAAATAAGAGAGGCCAATTTACAATGGACTCTAAATCCAGCTCTTACCCAAACTTTAAACGGGATCTATTAATCATGCCGAACATTTAGCAGGAGATTCCAAATTGTGCTCTAACTTGAAGAACTTCTCTTCTATTAGGACTTAATCTGCCTGATTTGAGAACCAAACTGATGGCATTGTTGCCTATAAATATCAACCCACATCTTATTTTCTTACGTACCATCGATTTTGAGATCCATAGCTGTCAAAGATTTCTGGAAGCAAAGCCAATAGCAGGTAACTTTTTTTTGTGTGTATTGCAGGGCAATATCTGGAAGGCAAACCAACCGTGAAAAAAAACTTGGAGACTTTCTATTTGCACCCCTGTTCTTCACCAATTAATATGGGAGAGCAGCTCCAATCCGTAGGTGGGCGCTCGAATTGAGGAAGAAGAAAACCGGCGTTCCGAATTTAGGAGGAGCCGCTGTGGTATTCACTGTTTTAGTCTGAAGCTTTACAGAGACCATTGTCCTGTAGCTGCCACTCCTTCCTCGTCGTCGGTTTCTGTCCAATTGTTCGCTAAGAAGAGCACCAAAATATGGATTTTTTGGGTTTAATTCACCTGCGTCGAGGAAGGAAAGAGCTCGCCCTCTAAATCCTGGGAGGAGTTGCTGTTCGCAGATTGGAACGCCATTTTCTTATGCCGCCTGAGACCGAAGGTGGTCGCTGGTCGGAAATCACCGCCGGAGAAGATGATAGGTCTGATTTTGTTGCTGACGCTATTCACCGGAGGGAGGAGGTGTTGTCGTTTTTGGAAGATGGCAAGGCTTAGAAGTCACCGTTGCTCGTTCTGTCAGTGGTCGGTTCCGTCAGGTGCTGATTCCATCCTATGTAAAGCATCAAGATGTTGCCGTTGCTTCCTTGTGTAATGTCTGTCCCTGACCAGCTGCTATTCTCATACTCCCTATTTCCGTATGAAGAAGATGACAGCATATAATACGAGAGATGGGGCGGCTGTTCTATTGGGTTTTATTTAATACTCCATATTGGGCTTATTCAGGATTTCCCCCCTTTTTTGTGTATTTACTTAAAATGCAAAAAAAATGTGGGATATGAGAACCCATTGGAGTATCTACTACCACGAGGATACGGAAGACCGACTACTTTGCCGTTGTGAAGACCGGCCACTTCGTTGGTTTGAAGACCCGCTATTTTGTGGGTACGAAAACCGGCTATTTTGTTGGTGTGAAGATCAACCATTTCGTCGGTTTGAAGACTGGCTATTTTGTCGGTGCGAAGACCGGCCATTTCGTCGGTGTGGAGATCAGCCACTTTGCCGATATGAAGACTGAAGTGGTGTGGGATGGTGGCCCTTCGTTGGGTTAGTGGCATCGATCTAAAGAATTAGTCTGATTGCCGGTCATCGGTGTTGCTTGGGTCCCTTCGTTGGGTTAGTGGCACCGATCTAAAGAATTGGTCCGATTCCGACCGTCGGTGTCGCTTGGAGCCCTTCGTTGGGTTAGTGGCATCGATCTAAAGAATTAGTCTGATTGCCGGTCATCGGTGTTGCTTGGGGCCCTTCGTTGGGTTAGTGGCACCGATCTAAAGAATTGGTCCCATTTCCGACCGTCGGTGTCGCTTGGGGCCCTTCGTTGGGCTACTGGCATCGTTCTAAAGAATTAGGCCAATGAAGTCGTCGGTGTATACAAAGCTCTGTTGATGCCATTCATGAAGGGCGGCCATTTTTCCGTTTATGAAGGCTGGCCATTTAGCCAGTTTGAATGACGACCACTTCAACGGTTTGAAGGTTAGAGCGGTGCTGATAGAAGATGATGTTTGAAGCTCAACTCAATCAATTTCAGGCGAGGCACATACTTGAGACTCTCACATCTTGGTATGACTTTGTTTTTCGTAATCCCTTTGGCTAAGAACTTAATTGGGTTTTGTTTTGTTATAACTGAACTCAAAAATGAAACTTTTGAGCTTCCTACGTACTCCTATGAAGGAGATCAAGTCAAACGTAGTTCATATGTACCATTTGAATTGGTAATTTGAAGGGGCCGTACACAATTTTAACTCATGCGGGCCAGGAGCTTGCCGTACACATATTTAACTCTCGTGGGCCAAGAGCTTGTCGTACACATTTTTAACTCTCGTGGGCCAAGAGTATCTATGATTATGTTCACCCATAGACAAAGTGAGATGTTTTAGCAGTTTAGCCACTTACAACATCATTGGTGGTTTAAGCCATTTAACATTTTGTTTGGTCATATGCATACCCTGACATGAAGGGTATTGCATCCTCAAAGTTGATAATGCAGGAGTTCACATATTGGTCTTCATATTGACCATGAGTGTGCACAATGGTCACTGGCTTGACTTTGAATGCACTTCCATATGTTACTTTCACATCGGTTTCTTGTTTTATACGAGATGGGATAAAGCTTTTATACTCATAAAGACTTTTGTTTTCGAGAGGAACTTTAGCAAATTTATTGCTTTCATGCTTCAATCCCAATGTTTCATGAACAGACTTTCTTCTGAAGTTTTGTCCCATGCATAGGCCTTCAACGTGTTTCAACATCATCGGGCTCGTTTCAAGCCATTCTTGTAAAGTCTTCTTCACGATCTTCTTTGGCTTCGACGCCATTCTGTCAAAGATGGCGGGTCTTGATCTTGCCCCCCAATCCTATCAAAGACGGAGTACTTTGGCTTAGAAGTTATTTCATCTTCCTTATCAGCACTGATATGATGTATTGCGGCTCTATTTATGAGGATTTTTATAGGTTTAGGTTGAACATAGCCCAATCCAATGTGGCCTCTTAAGTTGATTTGCTTCAGTGTTCCTTCTCCACCAGCTTCTGGAATGAGCTTCCCTAACTTTTGTTCGTTATGATTATAACCGGCTTTGGCAAGGAGCTTGTATGTGTTTGGGTCAAATCCTTCTTTCGTACGTGTGTTAGGCAGCTCAGACTCACATTTCTCTTCAGCTTCCTCTTTAGAAGCCTTTTGAGAAGGTTTCGATATCTCAATCTGTGCAAGAGGGAATGTGAGCTTCTCCACACCTTCAACGAGCTTTTCTTTCAATTTAGGCTCAGTTAAAGGGCGATACACATCATCTTTTCGAGCATCCTCATCTTTAGAGACTTTAGCCTTGAAGTATAACTTTGCATCTGCAAAATAGGACTCAGCTTCTGTGAATGGAGTCTCATCAGCCAACACCTTCTTCACAACACCGTTTTCTTCATACATGAAGCATTGGTGCAAAGTTGACGGAATTACACCATTTTCATGGATCCATGGGCGTCCTAACAGAAGATTATATGAAGCTTTGGCATCAATGACATGGCATAGAGTGCTTGCCTTCAGTTTGCCAATGACCAAATCAAGGCGTATCATTCCAATTGCCCTTTGCCCCTCTTGATTGAAGCCTTGAATCATCAAGCGGCTTTGGGAGAGTTCATCAATTGATATTCCAAGGTCTTTCATAGCCTGAACTGTCAAAATGTTAACAGCGGATCCTTGGTCAATCATGATTCTTTTGAATCTTTGTCCACAAGTATATCCCTCAACAAAAAGTGGGCGATTATGGGGTGTGGCACCCAACATAAGATCTTCGTCTTTAAAGACAATATCAGTAGCATACGAGGTAGAGTTCTGTGTTTTTACATCTTTCTTAGCTGAAGTTGGTGATGAGCATTTGCTTGAGCTCTCAACTTCTTTTTCATGAGTGCCAAGGCAGGAACTTGAAGTTTGATTCACCTTGTTCTTGAAATCCTTTGGCATATAATTGTCTAGAGTAACTGACCTTCGCTCAACCTTGGAACAAACACTGGTCTTTCTTTCCTTCTTTAGCTTGAGTTTATAAACCTCCCTTTTCTTGACCCATTTCTTTACTCCCTTCACTGGGGGTAGGATCAATTTTTGCCTCTTATTTTGTTTATCTCGATCTACTAAGATCCATGGACCTTCTTCGCCATTATTTTCTTCATCTCTCACGCGAGAGTAGTTTCCCATCACTTTGATAGTAAAAGGAAGTATTCGATTGTGAGAGTTCTTACTCTCTTCTTTCGAGTTGTCTTTAACCATAAATGGAGAAAACTTACCAAAAGTGATGGCAATTTGGTTTGTACTTGCAGCAGAATCGGCGAGCTCAATCTTTCCTTGACGAGCCAGGGCCATAATTTTATCTTTAAGCACCCAACACTTCTCAGTGGAGTGGCTTAAAAGTCGATGGTACTTGCAGTAATTGGGGTCATCTATCTTTGTAGCTTCCTCGGGTCGTTTGGACTCGGGTAAATCAATAAGCTTCAATCTCATCAGTTCCTCAAACATGGGAGGAACGTCAGAGTCTAAGAAGGGGTATTTCTTTTCTAGCATCTCTTCTATAAATGGTTTAACACGTTTTGACGCCTCCGAATCAACCCTAGAAACTTTCTTTGAATTTTGAGTGAAGATCTTAACAGGTGCAGCCTTCACGACCATTGCTTCTTTATTTTCAATATTAGAAAAGGGTTTGCCCCCATTCTTGGTATCTTGTTTTTCAACAGCATTGTTTATGGGATACATACCCATGGCTTTCTTTCCACTACTTGCAATGCTTAACTCCATGTTACGAGCTTTGTTTGCTAGCTCGTCGAAAGTGTTTGGATTGACTCCTTTGAGAATGTAGCACAATTCCCAATGCATTCCTTCAATGCACATATCGATAGCGGAACTTGTAGAGATTCGATCTTTGCAGTTTAGATCAAGATCTCTCCAGCGCTCTATGTAAGCTATCACAGGCTCATCTTTCCGTTGGCGAGTAGTTGTCAACTCAAGCAAGCTCACCACCCTCCTTGTGCTGTAGAAATGGTTTAAGAACTCACGTTCCATATCTTGCCAGCTGTCAATGGAACCAGGTTCTAGGTCAGTATACCAGTCAAATGCATTTGCTTTAAGGGAGCGCACGAACTGCTTGACGAGGTGATCCCCACTTGTTCCCGCATTGTTGCAAGTCTCCACAAAATGGGCAACATGTTTGATGGATAGTCTACCCGGGGGTATATATCCGAAGGGTTATTGCTGGGAATAACTTAGAGAGAAGTCAGAGCAAGTAAATGTAGAGAGAGAGTGTGTATTATAAATGTGGAACGTTTTCAGCGTGGTTACAAATGGGGAAATGGGGTGCTATTTATAGTAGCAATAAATGCCGGACAGGGACACGTGTCAAGCGCTCATTGGCCGAGGGGTCACCTCAACTGGTTGGCGCTGGCAGCCGCATGTGGCCGCATTTAATGCGGCTGTTGAATGGGACGTCTGTGCAGGGTACGGTGATCTGTACGCATGTGAGGCGGATATCTTGTCGAGTGAGATGCCTTTGGCTATGAAGCAGTAGCCGAGGGCTCCTCCAACCAATGGAACCCTGGTGCCGAGGGCTCACAGTGCCGAGGGCTACTGTTTTCGCCGTTTTCTCCCAGTTTCTTAATTTGCTTGAGAAACCCGTTCTGTGAGAGTTTAGAGCCTTCGGCCAGGGGGCCGAAGGCACCCCTGGCGCGTAGTGCGGGCTGCTTGGTACTCTGGGCGCTGTGATTTGGGCCTGTTGGGCCTTCTGGGCCTGTTGGGCCTTCGTTGGAGTAGTAGGAGTCTGTGGGCCGGGGGTTCCCGGGCCATATACTCCATCAGGAGTCCCTCACTCCTTTTGCCGAAAGGTACTTGAGGGAAAAGGAGTAATTTGTGCTTGCCCTTTGATGTTGTCCTATCGTGATCTCTGAAGTTGGTGAGGAGTTGTTGCTTTTATGTCCCTGCCGAAGGCAGTCCCTCAGTTACCCACATGTCGGGACTTGAGGGCTTGCTTTGTCGTTTGTTGGAATTTCACTAATTTTGTAATTTAATGATCTTCCCGAGGGGGTCCTCCAGTCCCCCACTCCTTGAGGCACTTGTAAAGTGGTAAAAAGGAGTAGAGTAGTTGCGTTGCTGTTGTGGGTCGAAGGCTGACGCTTTTCGTTTCATTTTGGGGGGATGCCTCGTTAAAAACCTCATTAGAAAAAAATCTGTGGGAAAAAAATCCTAATGAGGGAAAAAGAGTGCACCGGATTCCCCCAATGATGAATCGAAAATGTCAAACCTTGGTCAAAAATGGAGAATAACGGTAATGCCGAAGGCTCTTCTTTTTCTGAGGGCTCATGTGTTGATTAGCCGAAGGCTTGCTGTTGATGTCCTGGGGGTGCCGAAGGGGAGCCACTCAATCCGGGGATCGAGAGCCTGCTGGATGAGGGCAGCAACGGAGTTGTTACCGGGGGGTCCACTGTTTGTTGATTAGTTGGTGATGAAGATACCCGAGGGCTCCCATTACCTGTGTGCCATGGGTTATCCGTCAATGAGGCAACTCCCCGGGGGCTACCCGGTTTTGCAGTGCTGAGGGGGAATCCCCGAGGGGTGCCCTGATATGAAGCCCTGGGTTTCTGAAGGAGTGATCCCGAAGGCGTCTGTTATGTGCTGTGTGGGGCACAACCCGGGGGCGTCTCTGGGTAAGTGTACCCGGAGGCTCTCTTTGACGAAGCGGAGTGAAGTAGAAAACCCGGGGGCTTCCAGAATATAGCCGTTGGAAATATAGCCGTTGGAATATGTAACGTCAGGATATAGCCGTTGGGGGGGTACACGTGGCGCGTGACGGTTGGCCGCCCGTGGGCGGCGTCACCGGTTGGGTGAAAACACGGTGCGTAATGATGACGGTCCGTCCGGAGGCCCGGTTTCCGGGCCCAAGCCCGGATTCCAGCGCCTATAAATACCCCAAGGCCAGGCATTCCTCCGTGTGCGAAAACCTTGTTAGCGAAGCTCTGCCAATTTTTCTAAAGAGAGAAACAGCAGCCCTCGGTTGAATCCTCTGTTCTTAAGGTCAGTTCTCCACTTGCCCTTCACCTCTTAGCTACCTGTACTGTGCCCTTAGGCTAGGAGATAGAACATTTAGAAAACACTAGCGTCTACGAGCCTTCGAACTAGAGTCAGAATGTCGTCCCAGAGTGATTCTCAAGATATCTCGGGGGCGCCCTCGATGGAGGATGAAGTCCTCTCGGACGTGGAGTCCTCAAGTGCAGAGTCTTCGGTGGGACAGGATGCCGTCGTTGCCCTGGAGTTGCAGAAAGCCCTCGTAGCTGAGGCGGAAGCCGAGGGCTTCGAGCAAGAATGTGAGGACGAAGAGTTGGCCCTCGCCTGGCAAGCAGCTGAAGAGGAGGCACAAAGAGAAAGCGCGGGGGTCACCGTTGATGTGCTCCCCCTCGGGGTGCCGGTGAGGCCAGCACCTCTCGGCCGCTGAATGCAGTCCCCATCCGGGTGGCCCCCGGAAAGAAGAAGGCCAAAGCCGCTGCTCCCAAGAAGAAGGGCAGCGTAGCAGACCAAGGGAAGCCCCTCGATATGCCCGAGGGGTACTCCTATCTCAACACCGCCGCATTGGAGATCAAGTCGAAGGTTGATGCGGCGGACATCTATGTCACCCAGCTTCACGTGGGCCCCTCGGCCATCGTGGTGACACCGGGTCCGGATGACGTCCTCTCCCGGGCTCCCGAGGGCTGCATTGCGGTGCACGTTCTCTCGGTATCCATGGGGCTCCGCTTCCCCCTGCACCCCTTCCTCCGGGAGTACCTTCGGTTCGTGGGTCTGGTTCCCTGCCAGCTGACCCCGAACAGCCATTCTTACATTACTGGCTTCCTCTAGCTCTGCAAGTCTCGGGGGGTGACGCCTAGCCTGGACCTCTTCTTCCAGAGCTTCAACTTGTGCCGGGGGGGGGGGGGGGGGGCACGCGAATGCCGAGGGATTCGCCAATTTGCAGCAGGTGTCCATGTTCAAACTCTTCACTGAGGCGCCCTCCTCGAACAAGGGGTGGAAGGACCGGTGGTGCTATGTGAAGCTAGCCGAGAGCCCCTTCCCGAGGGAGCTACGTGACCGCTTCAGGAGGCACGAGAAGAGGAGGAGCGCCGCCCTCGAGAAAGATGGCAGGATTCTGGCCATGATCCCGGAGGGCCGGGACAAGAATATCACCATCAAGGAGTGCACCAAGGAAGCAGATCTCTACACCCTCGGGTTCCGGCGGTACCGGTTCCTGGGGGAAACAGACGAGAAGTTCCCAGTGTTTGAGGGAGCCTCCGGAGGTAGTGGCTGAGGGCATTCTCACCCTCATATCTTAGCACGTTATTTACTTGCGTCGTTTATTTTTTTATACCACTTATTAGTGACCCCTCGATCCTAACCCCTCATTTTTTTGCAGGTGTTCCAGTAAACATGATGAACGTCAAAGGCCTCGCCCGACTCAAGAACAAACCGGCCAAGGATCCGAAGGGGCCGGACGCTGGCGGCCAAAAGCTCGTCGGTGCGCCTCCCAAGAAGCCCGAGGGCGATGCTGCTGCGGCGAAGAGGAAGCCGTCCGCAAAGGAGCCTCCCCCAGGACCCCAAAAAGTCGAAGAAGGGGGACGCCGCGAAGGATGACCCCCCGGTGGTGATTGTAGATGACCCTCCGGAGATGCCGATGGCGCAGGTGCCGAGGGGTGCCCGGGAGCCATCTCTCGAGGTTCTCACGCTCTCTCTTTCGGCTGGCACGGCCGTGTTGAATGGCACGGCCGACCCGAGGGCGCTCCTAAGAGGTATAACCCTCGATATCGACAGGGCAGCTCTCGGGGCCGATGACGATCAGGCCTTCGAAGACAGGATCCTCCGGTCTTCCCTCACGGTAAGTTTATGACAGTTTGTCTTCCTCTTTCCTACTTTGAACTAGGACATCACGTTCGGCCCTGACAACTCATTTATTTTTGCAGACTTGCGTTGCCCTCGGAGAGCAGTTCCGACGTCTGGAGGAATGGCGCCTCCACAAAGCTGGGCAAGACGCCAAGATGAAGGAGCTAATCCTCAGGGACTCCCAGGCCACGAAGCTGATGGCCCAGCTTGAAGAGGACCTCCAGCTTGCGAGAGCGGAGGCCGGGAGGCTCAGGGAGGAGAGGGCAAAAGCTGAGGAGGCCGCTGCGGAGGCCGCAAGGAGAGCTGCCGAGGAGGCCGAGGCCATCAGGGCGAAGGCTGTCGCCACAGCCCGGGAGGAGGCCATCTCCGGGTTCCTGGACAGGGGGTGGAAGACCGAGGGGCACAAGGCGTGGTTGTCCTCGGTTGTGGAGGCCTCAGTTGACGAGTGGTCTGAGGGCCCGGGCGAGGAATGGATGGCCCGAAAGGGTAAGCAATATTATGATGGGGGCGAGTTCTTCACTCAAGCCCTCGTCTACCAGAGGATGGCCCGCCATCTCAAGATTGAGCCGAAGGACTTTGACCCGGCGGCATACGGGCTCCCCCCCCTGCAGCCAGACATCCGTGTTCCTCTCCCCCCCGATGTCGAGAGGCCAGACCTGGAGGATTCTGAGCTCCGGAGGGAAGCCGAGGGCGACGATCCTGAGGCCGATGTAGAGGTCACCTCGAAGCCATCGGGGGAGGCGGCCCCCGGGAATGACGTTATTTGATATGTACTTTGTATTTTGAACACTCTTGTAATAGCCACATTAGCATGTTTTCAGCCTCGGCCACCATTGTAATAACTACATTTACTCTTTTGTTGTGATGAATGAATGATTGCCTTCGGGCTTTGTATATATGGCTTGTTTTCCTTAATTCATTTCTTCTTGAATGTATGCCTTCATCTCGTTTTGGATGTATGCCTTCGCTCCTTTGAATGTATGTTTTAGGACTTAGAGTATTTTCTGATTGTAGCTTGCCCTTGGAAGCCTTCGGTAGTTGGGCACCCTCTGCTGGATATACAACCGAGGGTTCAGCAATAATTAGGACTTAGAAAATTTTCTTCAGTGTTGATTCCTTGTGTACTGTAGCCTTCGATTGATAGGTAGCCTTCGGCTATTGGGTCCCTTTATAAGTTGAGGGTGAAATATGTAGGGCTTAGAAAGATTTCTAAGTGCAGTTTTTCCCTTGGGAGCCTTCGGGAGATGGCATCCCTTCTTGATGTATGAGTAGTTGACCGGGGGAAAAACATGTAGGACTTAGAAAATATTCTAAGTGTAGATTTTCCCTTGGGAGCCTTCGGGAGATGGCATCCCTTCTTGATGTATGAATAGTTGACCGGGGGAAAAACATGTAGGACTTAGAAAATATTCTAAGTGTAGATTTTCCCTTGGGAGCCTTCGGGAGATGGCATCCCTTCTTGATGTATGAGTAGTTGACCGGGGGAAAAACATGTAGGACTTAGAAAATATTCTAAGTGTAGATTTTCCCTTGGGAGCCTTCGGGTGATAGGTGCCCTCTGACTCCACATCACTTTGCGAGATGCCCGGGGGCTGCTCATTTAGGACAGAATATTTTTTTTAAGTGTTGTTGTATTGCATGGCCTTCGGCTACCATATTCCCTTGGCTGTAATATTGATTGGGCCGGGGGCCCAATCTTTAGGACTTAGAATTTTTTCAAGTGCTGCTTCCTTGTGTAGCCTTCGGGTGATAGGTGCCCTCTGACTCTACATTACTTTGCGAGATGCCCCGGGGCTGCTCATTCAGGACTTAGAATATTTTCTAAGCGTAAATTGATGTTGAATCTTGTTGTTGTGAAGAAAGCCAATGAGGAGTGTGTGCCCTCAGCATACACTTTAAAAGTTGTAGAATTTGACCCTTGTCATGGGGTAAGGGCCCTCGGTACTAGTGCGTAACAGATGCCTTCGGTATTTGTTTGAAGGTACCGTTTTAGTGTACTTTGGATAGTCCAGTCCCTTTGTATTGTTGAAGCCTTCGGTGTTTGTGTGACCGGAGGTGACCAGGCAGTGGACTTAGCCGTTTCTTGATGCTATTTGTTCGAGTAGTATCCTTCGGGAAATAGGAGCCTTCAGTTACCGGAGGTGTTCGTGTGGGGAGCCCTCGGCATGTTGTGATCTTGTTGGAGTGTACTCTTTGATTTCTCGCTGAGCCTACTCCCCTTCACCCCCTCTTTTTTTTTTGGTTGGTGGTGAAGGGAAGGCATCAAGAAACTTGGTTTCTTGGTAAGGCTGGTCCTATTAGGAGACCATCAGAATACACCAATGGCTCTCCTCCCTCGGGTTAACCTTCCGAGTTTCGAGGGGATCGAGGGTCGTTTCCTGGGCACAAGATATGGTGGTCTGTAACCTGCCTCCCCTTGGGGGATGGCGCGGAAAGTGCCTCATTTTTGAAAGTCGTCCCCTCGGCGCTAGACATAGTCCGTGGCCTGCCACACCCTTAGGTGGTGGCGCGGGGAGCGTTTTGGTTTGGAAGTCGAATCCTGGGCATTTCTCGTGCCTGTCATACCCTTGGGGTGATGACGCGGATAGCGTTCCGTTTTTGAAAGTCGAATCCTGGGCATTTCTCATGCCTGTCATACCCTGGGGGTAGTGACGCGGAAAGCGTTTCAAGGAAGGGTTTTCATTTGCACACTAGTTGCAAATGGCCGGGGCACTACGTGTCGCCGGCACCGATGGTGGCGCCTTCGGTATATGCGTCCTCGTGGGGTACGACTTTTAGAAACAACACCTGGTGTTAGTTTCGATGTGTAGCCCCCCGGTACTTGGTACCGAGGGGTATTCTGCAGGAACACTTGGTGTTCTTACTGGAGTGTTTGGTGCCGGAGGGGCCCTCGCAGGAAACACTTGGTGTTTCCCAACAGATGTTTGGAAGCTGATAGGAGAGCATATCCCTGGCACTGGGTGCCGAGGGGTCTTCTTTGAAACATTTGGTGTTTTTCTTCGTTTCGATGTTTGATGATGGAGGTGTACCCTCGGCACTGGGTGCCGAAGGGTCTTCTGTAGGAACACTTGGTGTTCTCATCTTTTCTTTTTTGATGTTGAAGGTGGGGATGTACCCTCGGCACTGGGTACCGAGGGGTCTTGTTCGAAAACACATGGTGTTCTCCTGTTGTTGTAGGTGTTGATGGTGTGCGCCCTCGGCACTTAGTGCCGGAGGGGGTTCTTCTTGTGGTGAGGCCTGGGGCCTGTAGTCAGTATGAGGGCGTGATGTCTTGAATGTGTCTTCATTCCTCAAAAGTGGAGGCCTTGGGCCATAGGATAGTACATTCATTAGTTATGAGGGCTTGGCCGCTCTTACATTATTGGTAAAATTTAACTAAATGGTGTACATTCCAGTGCCTAGGGACCTCTTTCCCGTTGGGGCGTTTGAGCTTGTAAGTCCCAGGTTTGATGATGGCTGCTATGATGTAGGGGCCTTCGAATTTTGGTGCCATTTTTCCTCCCTCGGTTGGTTGGCTGGCTTCCCTCCTCCGGAGGACATAGTCCCCCACTTGGAATTCTCTGGTGCGAACTTTGGCGTTGATGTAGCTTTTGACTTGCCTTCGGTAATTTTCTGCCTGGATGAAGGCCTGCTCCCGACGTTCTGAAATGAGGTGGAGGTCGAGGGCCATGTTGCTGTCGTTGACCTCAGGGTCATATTGGATCACCCTTCGGGTGGGAAGGGTGACTTCCGTAGGAGCTTTGGCTTCAAAACCGTAGCAGAGGGAGAAGGGTGTTTCACCTGTGGCTCGCCGAGGGGTGGTGCGGTAGGCCCACAGGATGTTGTGGAGTTCTTCCACCCAACCACCGCCCTCGGCCTCCAGCTTCTTTTTTAGGCCCTCGAGCAAGGTCCGGTTGGCATTCTCTATTTGCCCGTTGCCTTGAGGGTAGGCAACGGAGGAGAAGGTGTGTTTGATGCCCCATGCCTCCAGAAGGGCACAGAAGGGGGCTGCCTCAAATTGTGTCCCATTTTCGGAGATGATATGCTGGGGGACGCCAAACCTTGTGAGGATGCTCTTGAGGACAAAATGACGGCACTTCGCCTCTGTGATACTGGCGAGGGGCTCAGCCTCCACCCACTTGGTAAAGTAGTCGATGGCCACAATGATGTACCTGTTGTTGGAGGTACCCCTCGGCAGAGGGCCCACAAGGTCTATCCCCCATCGAGAAAAAGGGACAGATGTGCTGATGGGGGCATAGTTGACCGCTGGCCTGCCGGGGGCTTTCTGGAAATGTTGACAAGCGGTGCACCTCCGGGCAAGGTCAGCACAATCTCTGGCCATGGTTGGCCAGAAGTAGCCCTGGAGAATGAGCCTTCGGGACATGGAGAAGGGTCCCTGGTGAGCTGAGCAAGTGCCACTGTGCACTTCCTCCATTGCGACCTCGGCTTCATCTTGATGAAGGCACCGAAGTAGCGTGCCGTTGTAAGATCGTTTGTAGAGCCTTCCATCTTCGAAGGTGTAGCTAGGAGCCCTCAGCTTTGCCAGTTTAGCGCGGGTCTCATTCTCGGGTAGCTGCCCTGTGGAGATGAAGGCGGTGATATCTGAGATCCAATCCTCTTGGCGTTGTTGTATGTTCATAACGGGGCTTGCATGGATACTTGAGAGGCTGAGTTCCTCAATTTTGGCAATTTTGGAGATGTGCTCGGGGGAGTCGGCCGAGAGCTTAGATAATATGTCGGTGATAGAGTATATAGACTCGGACCCCCGGGTCTCACGACTATTGGGCCCGGACAGCGGCCCACACACGTCTTACGGATATCATTTGTATTATTGTACTTTTAATATATCATTTGTATGTACTAGATTAGTCTTTTATGTAGTTGGGCTACCGGGCCCATATTAGCGGCCCGGCCCGTTATTCCTCTATTTATACTCCTTTTGGAGCTTGTAAACCCTAGATCTCAATTCATTATCATTCTATTACTCATCTTCTCCACAATACTTGAGCTCAAATCTCTACATTTTATACATACTTGGATCCTAATAATCCATCAATGGTGCTTTCATTGAGAGATTAGAGCAAAATCAAGTGAGAAATCCTCCTAAAACATACAAAAAATTCATTCCAATCACAAGAAATCAGAAAAAAAACAGATCTGAAAATGTCAAGAACAACAAAAAAATCTGGAAATCCTAGATTTGAGCCCGTAAGTCGTCCAAGCTACAGCTGTGCGCCACCTGCCGAAGCTAGCTGCAGCACCTGAAGTTCGCCGAGCCATGGCAGCTCTCTAGGCCTCCGTTCCTGGTCCAGCGCCGCCGCCGCTCTTGGTTCAGCGCCGCCGCCGCTTTGGGCTAGAGGTGCCATCGCCACAAAGGTCCCTGCAAACCTGCGGTATCCGTTTAGGTCCGAACCAACCCGGCAGTAGGCAGCGGAGTTGAGATTAATTCACGATGTACGAGCCCTAGACGAGCTCCGCCGCCCCCATCACAACGCTGCCCGCCGTCGAGGTTTGCGGAGTTTAAGCACATGGGCATCTTCCTTCCTCTGCGGAGCTGCAGAACCGCACCCCTACTTCGCTGGTGACGACGAATAGGAACCAAGGGCCGCACCACTACTTCGCTGGTGACGACGAATCATCTTCTGGTGGCATGAGGACTCCCCCGCCGACGAGAAGTGAGATATGGGCCAACAAGGTGGAATGTACACTCTTTTTTAGACCAGCACGCCACACGCCATGAGGTGGAGGCTCTCTTTTATTTTTCAGACCTAGATGCTGCGGAAGGAGATATGGGCCACCAGGCTTTTACAATTTAAAATGGGCCTCAATTCAGCAGCACACCAAAGGCAG